CAGCCTCGTGTAGTCCACCAGGCTCAGGTCCATCAGGAAGAGTTCCTTTCCGTACCCCAGGCACCCCCCTGCATCCCTCAGCAGGGAGAGGGCCGGCGACTTCCAGGGTAGCTTCTCCCGGTCGTACAGCAGCCGCCTGACAGCCATGAGCCTGAAGCAGAGGTCGCAACCGGGTACCCAATACCCGTACCCTACCCGATACCCGGCTACCTGTACCCAGCCGGGTACGGGTACCGGTACCCGTTTGCGACCCTGGTGAGGCCGGGTACGGGTAAGGAATCAAAACCCGTTTGCGACCTCTGGACTAAAGCTCATGACCCTGGCGGTGATGTCCACCAGACCCTGGCCGCCCTCGCCCACCGGCAGGCGCGAGTGAGCGGTTGACTCTGTTGAGTAGCCAGGCAGGAGGCTGGAGGGCCTTGGTCTTGTGCCACATCACGGATGCTGCCAGGGTGTTAGCGACAAGCACTCGGCCCCTGAAGGACATGTGCGGAGCGAGGCGTGCCCATGTCAGTAATTAAGCCTCGATTGAGAGAGTGAGAGAGTGAAGCAACGAGGTCGAGCAGCGGTGTTGCGCGCACGTTGGCATTTTTTTCTCTGTTGCACCGGTGGCGAGAGATGTTGACTAGCTCGCCCGGTACACGGAAGGTCAGTGGGATCGACGGGAGTGAGCGGTTTTCCTTTTTTTTTCGTTGTTGTTGTTGTTGATGACGGTCAGCCAAAATCCCGCTGCTGCCAGGATGGAATTGTTCGGGTGGAATTGGGTTTTTCACGACGCGGTTAAGTTCACGCGATCTGACCCCCGTCACCCACTCCCATCCAAACCCCATTGACTTTAACGCTCACACTGACTTTAACGCAATATCTGCACAATGGCAACCTGCCATATTTGCACTATGTTACCCTATTTGCATTTTTGTAATTTTATATTGTATATTATAGCTATTGTATATTTTAGATTTTATTTAATTTAATTTCTACATACTTTAGCTCCTTAGTATTACTTAGACTTTGCACCGTTAGTATAGTTAGACTTGTAAACCACTTATTTAAGATTCTTATATGTTGAATGTATGCGCCTTCCGGCCAAAGTAAATTCCTTGTCTGTGCGAACTTTCATTGCGAATAAAACCCCTTCTGATGATTCTGATCCCCGCTATCGTGGATAATATCGATGGCAAAACAAAAAAGATCCCCCACGCGTTACATAGCTGAGCCGAGTTGAGGTGGACGGGGCGTGTGCGGCCGGTGTCATTTTCGCGATCCCACACGGAATGCAGCAGCCCAGCTGCGCCGGGATTTCGCACAGTGATGGCACAGCGGCAGCTGTGGGAAAACCAAACAGCGGCGCCACCACTCACTCGCTCCCTGGGTTGTTCCCTGGCTCGCTCACTTGCACAATCCCTCGCCTGCTCCCTGACTCGCTCCCTGGCTCGCTCACTCGCTCGCTCGCTCCCTCGCTTACTCCCTGGCTTGCTCACTCGCTCCCTGGCTCACTCACTCGCTCGCTTACTCGCTCCCTGGCTCGCTCACTCGCTCACTCCCTGGCTTGCTCACTCGCTCCCTGGCTCGCTTACTCGCTCCCTGGCTCACTCACTCGCTCCCTGGCTCACTCACTCGCTCCCTGGCTCGCTCGCTCCCTGGCTCACTCACTCGCTCGCTTACTCGCTCCCTGGCTCACTCACTCGCTCCCTGGCTCGCTCGCTCCCTGGCTCGCTCGCTCCCTGGCTCACTCACTCGCTCGCTTACTCGCTCCCTGGCTCACTCACTCGCTCCCTGGCTCGCTCGCTCCCTGGCTCGCTCGCTCCCTCGCTCGCTCGCTCCCTGGCTTTCTCACTCGCTCCCTGGCTCGCTCGCTCCCTCACTCACTCGCTCCCTCACTCACTCGCTCCCTGGCTTTCTCACTCGCTCCCTCACTCGCTCGCTCCCTGGCTCGCTCGCTCCCTCACTCACTCGCTCCCTCTCTCACTCGCTCCCTCGCTCGCTCGCTCCCTGGCTCGCTCGCTCCCTCGCTCGCTCGCTCGGCCACTGAGGCATAGAGCGGCCCCTCGGGCTGTGGCCGATGGGATGAACGTGGCCACCAGCTGATGGTGGGGAGATGTTGGGGAAATGTTGGAGATGGTGGGGAGATGGTGGAGATGGTAGAGACGGTGGGGAGATGTTGGGGAGATGTTGGGGAAGATGGTGGAGAGATTGTGGAGATGGTGGAGAGATGGTGGAGATGTTGTGGAGATGGTGGAGATGGTGGGTGGGGAGATGGTGGGGAGATGGTGAAGACGTTGGGCTGATGGTGGGGAGATGGTGGAGATGTTGGAGAGATGGTGGAGATGGTAGAGAGATGGTGGAAATGTTGGAGATGGTGGAGATGGTGGGGAGATGGTGGAGATGTTGGAGAGATGGTGGAGAGATGTTAGAGATGGTGGAAATGGTGGGGAGATGGTGGAGATGTTGGGGAGATGGTGGAGATGGTGGGTGCGGAGATGGTGGGTGGGGAGATGCTGAAGATGTTGGGCTAATGGTGGGGAGATGGTGGAGATGTTGGAGAGATGGTGGAGATGGTGGAGAGATGGTGGAGATGACGAGGAGATGGTGGAGATGTTGGAGAGATGGTGATGGTGGAGAGATGGTGGAGATGGTGAGGAGATGTTGGAGATGGTGGGGAGATGGTGGCGATGGTGGGGAGATGGTGGAGATGTTGGAGATGGTGGAGATGGTGGGGAGATGTTGGAGATGATGGGGAGATGTTGGAGATGGTGGGGAGATGTTGAGATAGTGGAGATGGTGGGAAGATGGTGTAGAGATGGTGGGAGATGTTGGGAGATGTTGGGGAGATGGGATGGTGGAGATGGTGGGAAGATGGTGTAGAGATGGTAGGGAGATGTTAGGGAGATGTTGGGGAGATGGTGGAGATGGTGGGGAGATGGTAGAGATGGTAGAGATGGTGGGGAGATGTTGGGAAGTGTTGGGGAGATGGTGGAGATGGTTGAGATGGTGGCGATGGTGGGGAGATGGTGGAGATGGTGGGGAGATGGTGGAGATGTTGGGGAGATGGTGGAGATGGTGGGGAGATGGTGGGGAGATGTTGGTAGGTGTTGGGGAGATGGTGAAGAGATGGTGGAGATGGGAGGGAGATGGTGGGAAGATGGTGTAGAGATGGTGGGGAGATGTTGGGGAGATGTGGGGAGATGGTGGGAGATGGTGGGGAGATAGTGGGGAGATGGTAGGGAGATGGTGGAGAGATCGTGGTGGTCCAGATATCTTAAGACCCCCATTAAATTCTCAAAAAAACGTAATCGTTTGCGAGTAAGCTTTATTTCAAACGGAAACGAATATGCTAAGGAAACAAATATTTTCACAGCCAATGAATTGGTGGGGGGGGGGGGGTCACAAGACATCTGGGCGACCCTACACTCGAGCACTTGCCCCAAGTGCTGTTCAGCCTACCCCAGCGGGGACCTTTGCCTTTGTACTACCATTGTCTTTGAAGGTTGCATTTCGGTCTGCCATCGCTTCCTTCCTGAGTAAAGATATCAAATGCAGCCCCCCCCCCTCTCCCACCCATCCACCCACCCCCACCATTGATCCGGCGCCTCGAGATATACTCAGAATCGGAATATTTATTCAAACTGGTGGAATCCGATGAGCCGTAAATCTCTTTTCCACATCTTCTTGGTTCTTTCGGTAAAGTCACGTCGAAGGGAAATAATAAAAGAATAAAAATAAAACGTAATAAAATAATTCTCACGACGTTTCGGCCACAACGCAAGCAGCCGTCCTCAGGTGAAGAACAGGTCTGTCGGGAAGACAGCGTCTGAATGAAACACCACCAGGCTTGGCAGCGTATATTTAAGCTGAATTGGAGGGGGAAGAGCGCCTTGACAAAATAATTTGCATATGAAGAGGAATTTAGCATATTTATGGGAAATGCAGATATGGGATTAGTACTACTTGTGAAATGCGTAGGAGGTGGGCGGGAGGTTTCAAAGTCATATTATGCCCGTGCATGATACAGGATTAGCAGCATCAAAGGGAGGGGATAGGGGTAGCATTAATAAAGGGAAGGAATGTTAATAGTTCTCCGGTCGGGGCGGGTAAGAACGTTGCAACGGCAAAACGACACAACAACACAATAGGCAGTGCAAAGTACAACAAAGGTAAACAAATAACTTAAAAAATAAATGTATATATCATGAGGCCTCCTTTGCCAGTAGCAAAATATAATAATAGGTTTTTTATACCCTTTTTTCTGACAACAAAACTAACATCTTTTTTACAAGGGATCATGTTTGCATTAACCACAATATCTGCGGTCAGAATGCAAAAAAAAACTGATAATGTATGCATTGTCCTTGAAATTGATTGGTTCACAACGGAGACAGCTTTTCTTATAAACCCAGTCTGTATTGGTGAGTGGTGAGTGCGTTGGTGAGTGGTGAGTTTGTTGGTGAGTGGTGTGTTGGTGAGTGTGTTGCTGTTACTACATGTAGTAGCTACTACACATGTAGCTACTTTTACTACGACGATATAATCCGGCACTACAAATGCCTCTTCTTTTCTTATGTTGGTTTTCCTACCCCTGGGTTTAAGAATTCGTCAGCCACCGTTCCGTACGAGGGCATCTGCCTGTCTCGGTTAAGGTGCGCAAGACAGCGAGGCGTGTACACACACACATGTAGACACACGTGTGTGTCTAAACGTGTGTGTATCGTGTGAACACGTGTGTATCGTGTGTGAACACACGCGTGTACAACAGGCAGTAGCCAGGAGCAGCAGCATCAACAGCTGAATCAACGGGCCCATCATAATGAGAATATTTATTTATTCTCGAGGAGTAATCCGATGAGCTATGAAGCTCTTTTTAAAAATCACAGACGCCCAGGTCGAGGCCACAAGATGTCAGAACTTTACAACAAACTTTGCAAAAAACAGGATGAGGGTGCAAATCATAGACGAGGTAAACCAATCACTTAAAGCACATTTACAAATCCGACTCAACTCACCACATGGCCGAAGGTTGTTCTACTCACCAGAGCAGCAACAACGGAGTGTGAGAGACGCGTCAACCCCAGGATGAGAATCGTGTTGAGGATCATCTCAGCTCTCATCTTGTGCGTCTTCCTTTCTTCCCGAAGTTGCCGACGATGTCTCTCCCCCCGGTGAGAAAACGATGATGATGATGGTGGAGTTTCGTATTTGGAGCGGACCTCGGACAAGCTGATCTTCGTCTTAGTAAGACTTCAACTTGTGAGTCGAGGAGATGTTGAGCGCGTGTGGCTTGTGCGGATATCCCGAGTCCACGATGTTTAAGTGTGTGTGTATGTGTGTGTATGTATGTGTATGTGTGCATGTATGTGTGTGTATGTGTATGTGTGTGTATGTATATATGTCTGTGTGTGCGTGTATGTATGTGTGTGTATGTGTGTATGTATATGTATGTACGTGTGTGTGTATGTATGTGTATGTATGTGTATGTATGTGTATGTATGTGTATATGTATGTATGTGTGTATGTATGTGTATGTATGTGTGTATGTGTGTGTATGTGTGTATGTAAATGTGTATTTTATGTGTATGTGTGTGTATGTGTGTATGTGTATGTATGTGTGTGTATGTATGTGTGTATGTATGTATGTGTGTATGTAAATGTGCGTGAGAGAGAGAGTTTAGATACGTAACTTGTCCGATGTGATAGCGGCTGGTCTCCCCAATCGTCGCTGCATTTGTCCCTGGAAGGAATCGCCCGTAACAGTTGTCGCTTCTTGACAACGCCGATGATGTCGGGTCAATTAAGAAGCCGATCCATCTCGGCGTGACTCACGCACGCGCACGCACGCGCACGCACGCGCCCACGTCAAAAAACAATACAATAAAAGTCAACGCTGTCTGAAATCATCTAAAAATTAAAATAAATTCAATCAGATCCGTAGCAGGAAATCCACCGCCCACCACCACCCCCCGCCACCAAAAACAATGTTAGTACGTTGCTTAAAAAAAAATCAGAATAAATGTGAAATAAAATATATTTGTAGTCGATATAAAATAAAGATACAGGGTGCAGCCCTGCAATTCCCTTGATACAGGCGTCAATTCCCTCCAAGAGAAGGGCGCTGCACATCCACCATCTCGAGGACGGGATACTGAATGGAGCCTCTGTCCGAGTCTTCAGTGCGCGTGTGTGTGTGTCTGACGCCGCACACACCCATATACAGATGATATATACCATTCACCGATCTGTAGACATAGCCATACGCCGCGGTAATATCCACATCAGTGTCGAGCGAACTCCAGCGGACAAGCGCTTTTAAATGCAATCGAGCTCAAGGCATCAAAATTGGCGTAAACGAGCCTTCTGCTTTACAAGTGGTTAGAATAACAACAACGACAGCCTGGACTGTTGCTGCTGTTGTTGTTGTGTGTTGGTGTGTGTTGTGTGTGTGACTCTCTGTCCCTAGTATGAGAAGAGCAGGGAGACCGAGAGCCGAGCGAAGTGGCGTCCACGCCGCCTGTGGTTTAAAGTCACCAGGGCTGCTTGGGTTGCAGACGCGTCGTGGTTGGATCTGGGAGTCATTGGGGGGGAGGAAGAGGAGGAGCGGTGGGGCAAGTGGTTAGCGCAGCGCTGCAAAATCCTCGGCCGACCACGCGAGTTCGATTCCCGCTCGCGGCCACAGGTCCTGGGCATCCCCCACTAGGTCGACTCAGCCATAAACATGAGTATCCTTGTGGTGCGGTGGGTAATAAACATCGCCGCGAGGGAGACAAAAGCGGCCCCGGGCGTGGTTGCTGTTCCACCCATCCACATCGTGTGGTGTCACAGAAGCCGGCCTTCATAGGTGCTCGCTAACAGCACTTGCCCCGACGGTCCTGTCAAGGCTATACGGGGGATCTTTGTCTTTGTCGTGGCAGTGGTGAGCGCTGCGCTGCAAAATCGTCGGCCGGCCACCCGAGTTCGATTCCCGATCACGGCCACCAGCACCCCCCGATGACGATTATATCTTGAACCGGTCCTGGGGCCTCCGCCTAGGTCGACTTAGCCTCAAATGAGGTGGGTTAACATCGGGGAGACAAAGGCGGCCGGGCGTTGGCCTTCGTAGGGGGGTTGCCACTCGCTAACAGCAGTTACAGCACTTGCCCCAACAGTCTGTTCAGTGCCGGATTATCCCAGTAGCAAAAGTAGCTACATACGTAGTAGCTACTACTACACGTGTAGTAGTAGCTACTACAACACGTGTAGTACTAGCTATCACTACATGTGTAGTAGTAGCTACTACTACACGTGTAGTAGTAGCTACTCCTACACGTGTAGTAGTAGCTACTCCTACACGTGTAGTAGTAGCTACTCCTACACGTGTAGTACTAGCTATCACTACACGTGTAGTAGTAGCTACTCCTACACGTGTAGTAGTAGCTACTCCTACACGTGTAGTGGTAGCTACGGGCCCCTCACTTTCAAGGTCTCCGCGCTAAGGGGCCGTCCATATATGACGTCACGCACCTCGGGGGGGGGTCAGACATGTGTGACGAGGGGGGGGGTGAGAAATGTGACGTCACATCAAAATGCGCAACTTTAAATAAATATAGACAACACGTTCTAATTAATTAAATAGACTTTTTAATCAATGTTTTCTCCTACAACATCAGAGTGCAGCGCCACATAAATACGCACTACAATGACAATAGTTTAAAGCGATTTGAGGCATGTTTTATATTTTTTTTTGGGGGGCGGGGGCAGAGCTTTGTGACGTCATATTTGAGGGGGGGTCTGACTTTTTGTGACGCCGTGTGACGATGGGGGGGTGGGGGTCAAAAATCGTACAAAATCGCGTGACGTCATTTATGGACGGCCCCTAAATGCTTTCAAGCTGTCAATTCCGGTTCAGTGATTCTGCACTTGCTCTATTACTCTAGTACTATACCGCCTTCGACTTTTATGAACGACTGGGTGTTTAAGGTGAGCGTATTATCTGGCTGTATAGCAAATGAAAAAATAAAAAAATCGCTTTAAACTATTGTCATTGTAGTGAGTATTTAATGTGGCGCTGCACTCTGATGTTGTAGGGGAAAACGTTTATTAAAAAGTATATTTAATTAAGTAGAACGCGTTGTCTATATTTATTTAAAGTTGCGCATTTTGATGTGACGTCACATTTCTCCCCCCCCTCGTCACACATCGTCACAAATGTCTGACCCACCCCCCAGGTGCGTGACGTCATTTATGGACGGCCCCTTATCATTTGGACATTGATCGCAGAAAAAGTATCTTAATAGTCTAAACAAACGAGCGCTTTATAAATGTGGAGGGGAAAACCCGGAGGATCCGGAGAGAAAAAAAAATCCACGCGACCACGGGGAGAGAGGCATATACAGCAATAGCAGCAGGCGTCAGGGTCGGGATCGAACGCACGACCTCCTGCGTAGCTAAATGTTAGACCGTACATCTGTGCTACCCCCCCGCCTGCACCGATCTGCAACTAAACACCAGCGTGACCCAAGTTTTTTTTAAATCAAATAATCCTCATCTCCCCTCCCGAGAACGGCCCTATATGTTGCTTTCCACCGAAAGAACTAAGAGTATATCTCATTTTTTTTCGATTGAAAGCTTTCGTGACTGCAGGGATTCATCTTCTTGGTTCTTTCGGTAAAGTCGCGTAGAAGGGAAATAATAAAATAATAAAAATAAAACATAATAAAATACAATTTTCAGCGACGTTTCGGCCACAACGCAAGGAGCCGTCCTCAGGTGAAGAACATGTCTGTCGATAAGACAGAGTCTCAGACTGAATGACTCAGACTCTGTCTTATCGACAGACATGTTCTTCACCTGAGGACGGCTGCTTGCGTTGTGGCCGAAACGTCGTGAGAATTATTTTATTATGTTTTATTATTTTATTACTTCCCTTCTACGTGACTTTACCGAAAGAACTAAGAGTATATCTCATCTAGCAGTGGATCGATTGACACAAATGGGACTGCACGTGGCGCCTTTGGAGCGGAGGAGCCTCGTTGGCGCAGTTGGTAGCGCGTCAGTCTCATAATCTGAAGGTCGTGAGTTCGATCCTCACACGGGGCACTGCGATTATTTTTTAATTCAATATTCGCAGCGGCAGCAACAAACGACGACGAGAGGCCGACGTTGCCCTCTGCTGGTCGCTTCGCCGCTACTGCAACCCCAACACGAACCTGTGGAACCATCTCGAGGTCAGTGTCCCCCCAATCTTCAATACATTTGTGTGGATATCTACATAAAATGATATTATAAACACACTATCCTAAAAATACAGCACCATATTTTAATACTAAAGCAGTCACTGACTCGCAACAACTTGCAATCATAAGTGACAGAGTTAATTTCGGGGAAAATCAATGAAAACGGGGTATGCCGATAGCATAAAAATGAGATGTCATAGAGCAAATCTGAGATCAGATTTGGAATCGGCACCCTGAAATTAGTTTTAAACCGGATGCAAAAGTCTAGGCCAGAATTTTTTGTTGTTGTTGACCAGTGTAATCGAAAACACAAATTAAACACGGAAGTCACGCAACTTAACTTTGTTTCATCAAACCCCTACTACGTGTTTATTAACATTGTTAAAAAAAATTACGATTGAGAACCAAAGTAAAGGTTTAAGAATTACTGCCGACTTATACTGGCCCGGCTAAACCCCGCTTTACGTCGGGGGGATGCGTTCCCGCGAGGCGTGACGACGTTTATCGAGACGACGCAAATCAAAAGGCGTTCATAGCGAGCGTGTCGGGCGGAGGCGAAGATGCTGACGATAGGGCGGCGAGAAATGACGGGACGAGGATGTGTTGCCGGCGATGTGTCTGGGGGGGGAGGGGGGATTTGAGGCGTGGGCACATCGGGTTGAGAGGTGTGACGAATTTTCGTAACGACGTACAAGTGGTAAGACCTCAACGGGGGCGTTTCTTTACGACCCCGACGAAACGGTGCGCGGAGAAAACGGTCCAAAGATTTGATTCTGCCGACATCAAACTCTGCCGGCCTTAACAGGTGCTCGCGAACGGCACATTGCCCCAACAGTCTGTTAGGAGGTCATATTGTGGGACTGCTTTGTCTTTGTGTGCTTATGTCTCTGTGTATGCGAGGCAGTCGCCCTCCAACAACAGAGGGTAGAGGAGCGCCGTGCGGATAAAATAATGCAGCAAGTTGGCACAGTGGGGGCATCCCCCCCCCCATATTCAAATATGCTCAAAATATCCCCCCCCCGCCCCCAATATTTTGCTATTAAAAAAATAATTGCTATGCTATGTAAATAAAAAGAACAATTTGCTAAACCTTGGCCACAATATCTGGACTCGTCTTCATATAAATCAACGCATAGATGTATGTTGATATGATTCTGGTTATGGTTGTACTTTATTAATCCCTAATCTCTGCCATTACATACAATGAAACAAGAAATGGTAAAAAAGTAAAAACAGAGCAATGTAATACAATACACTATTAGACATTATTGTAAATAAAAAAAGTCCAACCCATGTGTTAGTGAATTTTTAATATTCTAGGCAGGAAATGAGTTTTCAAATTTAGATTTTTTTTTTCTGGGTTGGGACCCCCAGGACACCCTAGAAGATTTGGTCCCCCCCCCCAATGTTGACTCCATGGCATCTGCCTTGTCATCTTGGTCAACCGAAGGCACCTGCAGGGTCTGTCCCGTGACCTCCTCCGTCAGCGAAGCCTTCGACACTTCACGTGGCAGCCTCAAAGTGCACCTGGCCTGGCACCGTCACCGCCACTTAGTGGCGAATAGCGCCTGTTGGTTATTTTTTCCCGTGCCAACGTGCACCCTGTGTGGTGTGGTGTGTGTGGGTCTCGAGGTGTCCGACTCCGCCACTGGTGGCTAGCACGAAGACATCTGGGAACGCGAGTGGCGTTTAGTCCCTAACTCACCGCGTGTAGATACAACTTCTTTCGCGCTGTACGTAGCCAACTGTGCCGTGACTCATGCCGCGAAACTGCTACCCCCCCACACGCAATTCCTTTGCGTGCAAAAATTAATGAATGGGGTGAAGAAAATAAAAGAAAAACACACACACGATCTCTGAATCGACATCGATTCGCAAATGCACATTTATATATATGTAAAAAAAAGTCGACAATTGGACACAGATTCTCTTAAAAATCTGAGACTTACAATGTGACCCGAATCGTTTTTTTTACACAGTACAACGTAACACATCATTCCGACGAGTGACAACTTCAGAGAAGAGGGTGGATAATTAATTGATCAGATCCGCCCCAATGCATTGTAACCAGCCGGCCTTCACAATGCAAATGTATTGGCATATCATTTTAAATCGTTGCACGTGATACCAAGTAATCTCTCCGTTTCTTTTTTAAATAGATCGGGGCGCGCCTTATACGACGCAGTTTAATAATAATTAAAAGTGCTCACACGTAACTCTTTCCTAGCGGCTGCCACTGCTCTCACTTCAATTTAGAGTTGAAGTTTTCGTGACTGCATGGATCCATACTCTTTGGTTCTCGTAGGTGAAAAAAATTCACGTTTCGGTTGCAATACAAGCAATGATAATTGTTTTTTTACCCTTCTATCTGGAAACAAAACTGACACCTTTTTACAAGGAGTCATGTTTGCAGATGACGCCATCTGGTCCGACCCATGTGAGACTAGGCTCGAAGGAAAGCTGTCTCGGGTGTGGACCAATCAACTTCAAGGACAGTGCACATTATCAGAATTATGTTCTTGGTTCTTTCGGTAAAGTCTCTGACGGTAAAGTCTCTGACTTTACCGAAAGAACCAAGAAGATGAATCCCTGCAGTCACGAAAGCTTTAAATCGAAACAGAATTATGTTCTTTTGTTTGTATTATGACTGCAGGTATTGCGGTCTATGCAAACATGACTCCTTGTAAAAAGGTGTCAGTTTTGTTGCCAGATAGAAGGGTAAAAAAACAATTATCATATTTTTACTGGCAAATGAGGTTCCCATAGAATACAAGCAATCATCATCAGGTGTGACCACAGCAAGAAATTTTTCGTTATTTCTTTTTTTTCTTTTTTCACCAACGTGACTTTACCGAAAGAACCAAAGAGTACTGCTCTGACTTGTTGGAGAAAACCGCACTTCAGAAGAACACAAAAAATAAACAAGCATGTGAGGTTATTGTTGTCGCAACGTTCCGAACGCAAGCTAAATCAAAACCCCCAAAACTCCACAAAACAAACGGCGAAATTGGCCGGAGCCACCCAAATAAAACACGCGATTCTTGTAAAGTATTTAGAATCGGTGTCATCTTCCTCCATCAAATCACAAGTCGCAGGGACACAGCGCGCGACACCGTCCCAACGTTCTAAAAACACCTCGCGGGCCCTGGCAAATGTCTCTTTGCTGGACGAATATTTCTAAAGTAAGATCTACCGTGTAACTTCTTGCCAAGACGTCTGGCCCGCATGGCATAGTAGGCCAAACACCCTGACGAGACGGATGGCGGGGGGGGGGCTCTTTGGAGCCCCCTCGAGCAGAAGTCCCCTTCTGCCAGCAGCAGCGGGCAGCGCACGCACGACATTGCAGGGGCTGCGCTTTTACCTTTTTACATATACCGTGTGCAAGTAGTTACAGGACAATAAATTACAATGGCAAAGTGTTTCACCGGCCGAGCAACAGCAACTCATATTCTTGGTTCTTTCGGTAAAGTCACGTAGAAGGGAAATAATTTAATAATAATAAACACATCATAATAATGTTCTATTTAAATTTTTTCCCTTATTTCCATAAGTTACGTAGAAGGGAAATAATAAAATAAACATCATAATTGTTTTATTTTTACAATATAAAATAAACACAATTATATTTTATTTTTATAATAAAACATAATTATTGTTTATTTTATTATAATTATCATGTTTATTTTATTATTACCGAAAGAACCAAGAATACGAATCCCTGCAGTCACGAAAGCTTTAAATCGAAAAATAGCAACTCAGTTAATAATTAGGGGATTTCGGCGATTTGTGGATACATTTTGAGGGGGGGGGGGGGGGTGGGTGGAGGGGGGGGGGTGGGGGGGGAGGGGGGTGGGTGGGGGATGGGTGGGGTAGTTTTTTAAAAAATATTCCATCATGGGTCTCAAATTTTGGACGGTCCGAAATTTCGCTTCGTTTCGGATTGACCCGTGGAAGCAACCGTCCTGAACATCCAATCAGAACGTGACACCGCGTGCCCGCACAGCAACAGGGGGTTGCGACGTCACGATGGTTGATATGAAGACTTTTTGTTAGTGCATCCGTATAGGTTACCACCCCAACAAAAAACAAAATCGTAAATTGTCCTTGAAGATGCAGAAATTCGCTACGTCTTCATAAATCCTGAAATCCCATCACCGTCGTCGTTTATTGCTGCGATGTTTTACTCCGTTACTCGGAAAAGGGAAACAGTGGTGGGGCTGGTGGGGCTGGTGGGGCTGGAGGGGCTGGTGGGGCTGGTGGGGCTGTAGGGGCTGGTGGGGCTGTAGCTGGGGCTGGTGGGGCTGGTGGGGCTGGAGGGGCTGGTGGGGCTGGTGGGGCTGGTGGGGCTGGAGGGGCTGGTGGGGCTGGAGGGACTGGAGGGGCTGGTGGGGCTGGTGGGGCTGGAGGGGCTGGTGGGGCTGGAGGGGGGGTGGGGGGCTGGGGCTGGTGGGGCTGTAGCTGGGGCTGGTGGGGCTGGTGGGGCTGGGGGGCTGGTGGGGCTGGAGGGGCTGGTGGGGCTGGTGGGGCTGGAGGGGCTGGTGGGGCTGGAGGGGCTGGTGGGGCTGGAGGGGCTGGTGGGGCTGGTGGGGGCTGGAGGGGCTGGTGGGGCTGGGGGGCTGGGGGGCTGGAGGGGCTGGGGGGCTGGGGGGCTGGAGGGGCTGGTGGGGCTGGAGGGGGGGTGGGGCTGGTGGGGCTGGAGGGGCTGGAGGGGCTGGTGGGGCTGGTGGGGCTGGAGGGGCTGGAGGGGCTGGTGGGGCTGGTGGGGTGCTGGGGGCTGGTGGGGCTGGTGGGGCTGGAGGGGCTGGAGGGGCTGGTGGGGCTGGAGGGGCTGGAGGGGCTGGTGGGGCTGGTGGGACTGGAGGGGCTGGAGGGGCTGGAGGGGCTGGGGCTGGTGGGGCTGGAGGGGCTGGTGGGGCTGGTGGGACTGGAGGGGCTGGAGGGGCTGGTGGGGCTGGTGGGACTGGAGGGGCTGGAGGGGCTGGGGGGGCTGGTGGGGCTGGAGGGGCTGGTGGGGCTGGTGGGGCTGGAGAGGCTGGTGGGGCTGGAGGGGTTGGTGGGGCTGGAGGGGCTGGTGGGGCTGGTGGGGCTGGAGGGGCTGGAGGGGCTGGTGGGGCTGGAGGGGCTGGAGGGGCTGGTGGGGCCGGTGGGGCCGGTGGGGCCGGTGGGGCTGGAGGGGCTGGAGGGGCTGGAGGGGCTGGTGGGGCTGGAGGGGCTGGTGGGGCTGGAGAGGCTGGTGGGGCTGGTGGGGCTGGAGGGGCTGGAGAGGCTGGTGGGGCTGCAGGGGCTGGTGGGACTGGGGGGGCTGGAGGGGCTGGTGGGGCTGGAGGGGCTGGAGGGGCTGGTGGGACTGGAGGGGCTGGAGGGGTTGTTGGGGCTGGAGGGGCTGGTGGGACTGGAGGGGCTGGTGGGGCTGGTGGGGCTGGTGGGGCTGGAGGGGTTGTTGGGGCTGGAGGGACTGGAGGGGCTGGAGGGGCTGGAGGGGCTGGTGGGGCTGGTGGGGCTGGAGGGGCTGGTGGGGCTGGTGGGGCTGGAGGGGCTGGTGGGGCTGGTGGGGCTGGAGGGGCTGGTGGGGCTGGTGGGGCTGGAGGGGCTGGTGGGGCTGGTGGGGCTGGTGGGGCTGAAGGGGTTGTTGGGGCTGGAGGGGCTGGAGGGGCTGGTGGGGCTGGAGGGGCTGGAGGGGCTGGTGGGGCTGGAGGGGCTGGAGGGGCTGGTGGGGCTGGTGGGGCTGGAGGGGTTGTTGGGGCTGGAGGGGCTGGTGGGGCTGGAGGGGCTGGTGGGGCTGGAGGGGCTGGTGGGGCTGGTGGGGCTGGTGGGGCTGGAGGGGCTGGAGGGGCTGGAGAGGCTGGTGGGACTGGAGGGGCTGGAGGGGCTGAAGGGGCTGGTGGGGCCGGGGTGACGGTAAGGTGTGGTCAGTGCCGAATTCTCCTAGGAGCTCAAGTCACTACATCAGTAGCTACGGGCCCCGCACTTTCAAGCTATCAATTCCATCTTCTTGGTTCTTTCGGTAAAGTCACGTAGAAGGGAAATAATAAAATAATAAAACATTATAAAATAATTCTCACGACGTTTCGGCCACAACGCAAGCAGCCGTCCTCAGGTGAAGAACAGGTCTGTCGGAAAGACAGCGTCTGAATGAACGCCACCATGCTTGGCAGCTTAAATATACCTGTTCTTCACCTGACAGCTGCTTGCGTTGTGGCCGAAACGTCGTAAGAATTAAATAATGTTTTATTTTTATTATTTTATTATTTCCCTTCTACGTGACTTTACCGAAAGAACAAAGAAGATGAATCCCTGCAGTCACGAAAGCTTTAAATCGAAATCTATCAATTCCGGATCAGTGATTCTGCACTTGCTCTATTACTATAGTACTATACCGCCTTCAACTTTTATGAACGACTGGGTGTTTAAGGTTAGCGATTTGCCGTATTATCCGGCTGTATAGCAAATGAAAAAATACAATTACTTTACTATGCAAGTTTAACATTCGTGTTTTAATATTTACGTGTTTTAATATTTGTGTTATTTAAATTTAGGGCCCCTTTATAGCATCATATGCTACAGGCCCCCCGCACTTAGCTTCATCCGGCACTGTGTGTGTGTGGGGGGGGGGGGGTAAATAGACCAGCAGGCAGAGCCAGGGCCAACACAGCAGAACAACAGATGTATCCGCGACAAATTAGTGCGGAACCATCCATGGGGTGAACGATGATGACGGGGCAACGCGGCCGGAGCTATTTACACAGACCCAGCAGGACATCGGCGACGTTCAAATCGCCTGGGGGCGCGCGGGGGTGGGGGGTGATCCGTACCCCCTAAAAAACTGAAAAAGAATCAGTTGAACGTGGCACGTGACGTCTTGCGCCAGCTGCCGCCACCCCGCGCTGCGGTCGGTCGGGTTGACAATAAAAACGTGTCGCGCGACCTCTCCTCCAGCCCACGCGGGTACCGCGGATGCAACGAGATGAACGCGGAGTCGCCAACGTGGCCAGTTTCATTGACACAGCAGCAGCAGCAACAGCAACAGCAGCAGCAGGAGCAGCAAGAGCAACAGCAGGAGCAGCAACAGGAGCAACAGCAGCAGCAACAGCAGCAGGAAAAACAGCAGCAACAGCAGTAGCAACAGCAGGAGCAGCAGCAGCAACAGCAGGAGCAGCAACAGCAGCAGCAACAGCAGGAGCAGCAGCAACAGCAGCAGCAACAACAGCAGCAGCAGGAGCAGCAACAACAGCAGCAGCAGGAGCAGCAGCAGCAACAGCAGCAGCAACAGCAGCAGCAGCAACAGCAGCAGCAACAACAGGAGCAGCAACAACAGCAGCAGCAACAACAGCAGCAGGAGCAGCAGCAGCAGGAGCAGCAGCAGCAACAGCAGCAGCAGGAGCAGCAGCAGCAACAGCAGCAGCAATAGCAGCATCAACAACAGCAGCAGCAACAGCAGCAGCAACAGCAGCAACAGCAGCAGCAACAACAGCAACAGGAGCAGCAACAACAGCAGCAGGAGCAGCAACAACAGCAGCAGGAGCAGCAACAACAGCAGCAGCAGGAGCAGCAACAACAGCAGCAGGAGCAGCAGCAACAGCAGCAGCAACAACAGCAGCAGGAGCAGCAGCAGCACCGCCACCATCGGAGAGCGATCTCACTGCCGTTTTAAAAATGTCAGGAGTGCCGCGCGTCGGGTGGAGGAGGGCTTTGCAACGCACGTTATATGTGCACGGATGACCCGACGGCCGTAGAAAATAAAAATAAAACTCGTCGTGAATCTTCGACGTTAGTCGTACGACGGCGATGTAACAAGTCGGACAATCGTCGGTGCAGAGCCAGCTTAGTCCTGCGCGACCCAACGAACTGCGTCCTCCAGGACGGGCGAGTGATTTGATGAAAATAGCATCAGGAGCTGTATAAACTGTTAAATACAGTGTAAATAATAGTACGCGATGCAAACGGGCAGCTGTATTTCAACCTCACGGCAATAACTGGGCCGGGTTTGCCGTATTACACCAGCGGCACCACACGTCCTGAACTATCCCCGGCATCATCAACGAAAACATGCGTTCGTGTGTACACGCAGACCGGGGCGCCACGGTGAGATACAACGCACGGAGCGGATCGCACACAAAATACGACCACCATGAACCCGTCCCGGCTACGCTGCAATAACAAACACGGCACCGTACCGCGGGAAGCATACTGCGCACAGCAGCGTAGCGCACGCGCTGCTCCGTAAGGTCTACAATTATTTTGTACATTCCACGTTGGTGAAAATCCAGGGTTCGGTCCGCGTCTTACCACCGCGCGTCACTCGCCATGCTTTGCGTCCGGGGGGGGCACACTCGCTCCCTTTGTTGGCGCGCGCGCCGCGTCCTGGCACGGAGCGCGGGCGGGCGGGGCATCCGGAGCCCAAAATAGTGCAAGCCGGTCTTCAGTCCGGCTCCATAATCCACCTCCGGGGCTCCGCGCCAGGGTTTGCCCCGGGAGTGAGGGGGGGGTTGACAAAAAAAATAAAAAAATCTCGGCGGCCCCTTCTTGATGCGCTCTGAAGAACGGCGAACTCCCCCGGACTCCGTCAACCGATGATATTCCGTCTCGTTTTAAGGCAATTCGTTGTTATTGCCGGACGTTGTTTTTAGACGGCTTGTTTGTGCATTAACGTTGAACTCCTTTCGCCTACCGTACGTAGCCAACCGTGCCAATCGGAGGTGCGGATTTATTATTTTTTATTAAACCCGGCTTGCGTTTGTTTTTTTGCTTTCTCGAATGCAATAATGGCACGCACACAAGCGCTGTCGGCACTGTTCAACGGCAGCAAGAATCAAGTCGACAGGATGGGGGGTTTCACCACTGGAGAGCAGGCAGAGTCTGGCAACGCAGCCACGGGCGGACGATGCCTTCGCCGTAGGCTCACGGTTTTAGCAAATTCCGACGGAGCTCACCGGTTCCAAAGTTGAAACAGCGTGGGGGGTAAAGGTTTAGAAAATCCCACACCCTCCCCGCCCTCCCACCCAGCAGCCTCTGTCCACCCGGAAGCGTTGAATGGATTCACCGCAGTTAAGAGCTCCTTTCATCCGGCAGCAGTGGCGCGGGCCGGCAAATTGGCGGCGCTGCACCTTCATCTTTTTGCTGCTGTTAACTCCGGCGAGGGCGAGCACGCACGAGACGCCAACGCAAAGTGGGTTGGCCGCGATTGGCGAGAGTCGTTGCCGAGCTCGCTGCAGACGCGTCGGCACGAAGCAGCCCCCCCCCACACCCCCCAAAATCTCCTCCCTCCGCTCGCTTCCGGCACGTTGACAATCCGGTGGGTGCTTGGTGCTAATCGCTAAACGCTTTCCGCCGACACAGGTCTCCTGTGTGTGTGTGTTCAGCGGCACTTGAGTGGTGGCTAGGAGATGTTAACCGCCTCGCCTGGTCTACAGGAGGCCGTGGGTTCGATCCCGACTCTGATGCCTGCTGCTGTATATTTGGAGTTTGCGTGTCTCTCTCATCATCATCATGGTGGCTAAGAGATGTTCACTACCTCGCCTGGTCCACAGGAGGCCGTGGGTTCGATCCCGACCCTGATGCCTGCTGTATACTTGGAGTTTGCGTGTCTCTCTCTCATCATCATCACGGTGGCTAGGAGATGTTAACTACCTCGCCTGGTATACAGGAGGTCGTGGGTTCAATCCCGACCCTGACGCCTGCTGTATACTTGTAGTTTGCGGTGTCTCTCTCTCATCATCATCATCACGGTGGCTCAGAGATGTTAACTGCCTCGCCTGGTATACAGGAGGTCGTGGGTTCGATCCCGACCCTGACGCCTGCTGTATATTCGGAGCACGTAATGTCTTCTCTCTCGCTCTCCCCGTGGTCGCGTGGATTTTTCTTCGGGTCCCCCGGGTTTTCCCCCTCCACATTTAGAATCCGCATCACGCGTTTAGAGTGCTTGGCTGCTATCTGCTTCCACGTGATGACCACTCAGTTGAAGCGATCGTTTGTTTGCCGGGTCGCTTCTGCAAAGGAGCTATATACAGCTTAGTTGGCCTTACCAGGTAATATAAAAACAGTTTACAGTAACGACGACGGAGAGATGACTTGCACAAGTTGTTCCTGGACGAGATTGCGGTCGCGGACTCATTTTAAGATGATGTGGTATCCCTCCGTATTCTCCGCTGCAAGAGAAGGACATTGACACACGCGTTCCTAATTAGGATTAAGTGGTAAGGGGCCGTCCATAAATGACGTCACGCGATTTTGGACGATTTTTGTACCCCCTACCCCTCGTCACAAAAAGTCAGATCCCCCCCCCTCGAATATGACGTCACAAAGCTCTGCCCCCCCCCCCACCCCCAACAAAATAAAACATGCTTCAAATCGCTTTAAACTATTGTCATTGTAGTGCGTAATTAATGTGGCGCTGCACTCTGATGTTGTAGGAGAAAACATTGATCAAAAAGTCAATTTAATTAAGTAGAACGTGTTGTCTAATATTTATTTAAAGTTGCGCATTTTGATGTGACGTCACATTTGTCAACACCCCCCCCCCACTCGTCACACATCGTCACAAACGTCCTGACCACCCCCCCCCCCCAGGTGCGTGACGTCATTGATGGACGGCGTGAATATTTCCCGCCACCAGCGGCAACGTTCGAAACCGGCGGCCGCACCACTGGACGGAAGGGAAGGGGGGGGGGCGAGTCAAGGATGCAGCGCGTGGGGTAAAAGAAAATGTGATGGGGAAAGGGAAGAGAGGAGAGCAGAGAATGGGAGAGATGAGAGGGCAAAAGGAATATCCATGGCCGCGCACAAGCCGTGGAGGCTTGAGCTGATTTAGAGAGAGTTAGAGATGGTAATTGTCTTTGACGATTGCGAGGGGTTACCTTTCAGAGTGTCGAGGATAAAGCACGTCTCGTCCGGGATATTTTGCACCATCTGCAAGGACGCGGCAACAAGTTAATCGAGCGGCAATCCCACACAGCAGCCATCGGGGGCCCCCTACTGCGAGGGACATTGGGGGGCAGGACCCTCCCGAAACAAACGGTACCACGAGACTCGGCGAGGCTTGCGTGGGTGGCAGAGGTCGCAACCGGGTACCCGATACCCGTACCCTACCCGATACCCGGCTACCCGTACCCGGCCAGGTACGGGTACCCGTTTGCGACCCTGGTGCGGCCGGGTACGGGTAGGCCGTGAGTCACTGGTGAGTCACCGTTTGTCACTCATTTCGGGTAGGGTACGGGTAGGGAACGGGAACCCCTACCCGGCCGGGTACGGCTACGGGTAAGGAATCAAAACCCGTTTGCGACCTCTGGTGAGTGGACAAGCGCGTCGCCAAACTATATCCGGAAACGGGGTTTTGCTGGCTGGCGCACGGGCCCTGCGTCCACAGCGCTGAGCCAGGTTCATGCGTTGCGCAACTGCCCCCCCCCCACAATCTAACACCTCCTTCCCCCCCCGCCCCCCCCCTCTCCCCTCCCCCCCACCCTTCGTAGGAACGAGGAGGCACTTAGAGGCTCCGGGAGGGAGGGAGCTGGGAGGACCCGAGCGGTCCCCTATGTAATTGGCGGATTTGTTTGAGAGGACATTTTTGGGATGAAGACGGCTCAGTGGTGGTCTCTCCGGATGTCCAGTGGGGGGGGGGGGGGGGGGGCAAGGAGAGGGGGCAGGGGGTGGCAGGGGGGGGGCAGGGGGGGGGGCAGGGGGACAAGCGAAGTTCCGACAACAAAACCGCTCTTGGCCGGGTCGTGGCTCTCCGCGTGGCAGCGCCGGTCACGTGGACCCTGCTCAGTCCCTGCCCCTCTCATCTTGCACCCCCTCCTCCACCCCCCCCGCTCCCCATTCCCCTCCTCCCCCCCCCACCCTCTGCCCACCGACTGCGGATCCAGCGCAAACGCGTGGGCGGTGCTCGTCATTCAACGAAACGCGTACGCGGCGAGCGTGAACCCCACCACTTCCACCCCGATCGATCGAGAGAACGCCGATCGATCAATCGATCGGTCCGTATTTGACCACATTCGCAATATTCGCCGTCTAATGAAGTGGGCGTCGAGCGATTAACAACGGAGGGCGCGTGCCCGCCCGTGGCGGAGGGAAGCCGCGACGTGAACCACCGCGCGCGCGTCCACAGAGCAGCAGGTTCACATGGGGGGGGTGGGGGGGGGGAAGCTACATTTAACACAGCACAAATAAATAATGAGATTTTTTTTTATGAAATCCGCGGAAATTCATTAAATCGGGACATACGGAGAGCGAGCGGGCGGGCGGGGGGGGTCGGGGTGAACCGATATACATACTCTTAGGCTTTTTCGGTAAAGGCACGTAGGTAAAAATAAATAATAAAAGATAAATAATTTAAATAATAGAAATAAAATAATAAATCACGACGTTTCGGAGGCAACACAAGCTTCCGTCTTATCTCTTCTATTATTTTTATTATTTATCTTTTATTATTTATTTTTTACCCACGTGACTTCACCGAAAAAACCTAAGAGTACGAATCCCTGCAGTCACGAAAGCTTCAAATCTAGAATGCACCGATACACCCCTGCGGCGAATTCCTCTGCCCGTTCGTACCACGGGTTGACACATCAAAGTGGGTTGCGAGTCAGTGGCGGTAGCGCGGGTGGCACGGAGGGCCCGTTGCAACTAATGAAATGGCGCCTTTCCCGCTCGGAGCCCCTCCTCCGGCCGCGCGGTTCCCAAGGTGTCAGTTGCACCGCCTGCACAGATCTCGGCGGCTAGCGGGGGGTGGTGGGGGGAGGGGGGAGAGTATCACACCTGGTCGCTGATGAGCACGTGGATGCCGGTGGGGCCCTGCCGGTAGATGTGCTGGATCAGGCGCGGGGAGATGTTGAAGAGGGTGGCGAGTTTCTCCTGAAGCTCCGCGGCCGTCAGCTCCTCCAGGAACACCGCGTGGTAGACTGGAGCGAGCGAGCGCACACGCCGCGCACACGTCAAGCACACGCCACGCACACGCCACGCACACGCCGACCGCGAGGAACGCAATGTTACAGGGGTTATTTGTCGTCGTCGTCAGTCACTCGCTTACCGCGCGCGTCGCGGGAGTGAAGTCTCTCCCCCAAAGCCGCCACCGCCACCGCCACTCCTCATCGATTCCGCGACGCGACCGGTCCCAACCGAACCATCCGACCTCGTCGCTCCACCTCGTCTCGTACGCACGCCCGTCCCCCAACGCGCACGCCCGAGATGAAGGAAGTTGTCGTTTTGTTCGTGTAACTACACACGCGCCACCCGTCCCGACGACCCCGCCACGCCACGGCACGGGCGGGTGAGGTTCAGCTCACCGTAGATGGCGCTGTGCGGGGGGCCTCCGTTTTCCGTGACGGCCTGCGAAGGCTGCGTCTGCGCTGCGGCCTTCTTGGAAGGCTGCGTCTCCTGGCACACGTACATGGTGAGGCGCGGGCGCACAGACCTGCACGCACAGGAGACACAAGATCGCCCCCCCCCCCCCCGTGTAGCTTTTAACGGCAGCGCAATCAACGAAGACGGCGGTCACCGCATCGCGCGCTCTCAGACGCGCTTCTGCGGCCGTCTGGAACGCTCTTCCTTCCGATATTAGGAAGCCACTGGAGCTGTGCAACTTTTAAATCATCATCTAGATTGACACACTCATTTCTTGAAAGTTGTTTTTTGTGTTTGGTTTGTTGTCCTTCCCTCTCACCTCCGATTAGCGCCATTGGCTACGTACAGTGCGAAAGAAGTTCAACAGACAAATATCCCCCGTGTAGTCTTGGCAGACTGTTGGGGCAAGTGCTGTTAGCGAGCAACACCGATGAAGACCGGCACGGCACACGAGGGGGTGGCGGTGGTGGAAACTGTGGCCAGAAACAACGCCCAGCCACCTTTGTCTCCCCAGTGCTGAGAGCTTACACACAAACACACATGATTGGGCAATTTGCATGTAAATGTTTCAGCAATGGGATGTGTGGCCAATGCTAGTCGGAAATCGAACCCAGGAGATTCTCGCCGCGAGTATTCCCACTCTGCCCCATTGTTCCGCCCAATTAATTGACGTTATTATTTATCATCATTATTACAGGGTGTCCTCTACTTAGGAACTTTCGACTTAAGAGCCTTCAGAGGTACGAACAAAGCTGTCCGTATGTCAAGTTGCAGCTGTTCGAACTGAGAGTCGTAAGTTCAACCACCTCGCAATAGATGGCGGTGGTGGCATCTACATCTGCAGAACGTGAAGAACCAGTGGCAACTACATCTGCAGAACGTGAAGAACCAGTGGCATCTACATCTGCAGAACGTGAAGAACCAGTGGCATCTACATCTGCAGAACGTGAAGAACCAGTGGCATCTACATCTGCAGAACGTGAAGAACCAGTGGCAACTACATCTGCAGAACGTGAAGAACCAGTGGCAACTACATCTGCAGAACGTGAAGAACCAGTGGCATCTACATCTGCAGAACGTGAAGAACCAGTGGCATCTACATCTACAGAACGTGAAGAACCAGTGGCATCTACATCTGCAGAACGTAAAGAACCATTGCCATCTACATCTACAGAACGTGAAGAACCAGTGGCATCTACATCTACAGAATGTGAAGAACCAGTGACATCTACATCTGCAGAACGTGAAGAGCCAGTGGCATCTTCATCTGCAGAACGTGAAGAACCAGTGGCATCTACATCTACAGAATGTGAAGAACCAGTGGCATCTACATCTACAGAATGTGAAGAACCAGTGGCATCTACAGCTGCAGGATGATTATACAACGTTTAAAGCTGTCCCCCGTATTCAGTGTACACGCCATACAACGTGTTTGGAATCGACAGCAGGAAAGTTGGACTTACGAACAAAATCGACTGACGAACAGTACCTCTGGAACCTAACTCGTTCGTAAGTGGAGGCGTCCCTGTGTTGTGAAACAAGTTGTTACCTGGCCTTGACGGCGTTGTAGAGCCTAATGCCATCGGCCGCCCCGCAGATCTGGACCAGGTCATCTCGAGACAGCTTGAGGAGGTCCGCCCCTGCACGCGCGGCGGTCCGGCACAGCAAGCGAGAACATTTGTTATTGCGCGCTCTTACACGAGTCCAGTCCATCGCGAGCGTGCACTGATCACACGTTGAAGTGGGCGGGCTCTTTGAAGCAGCAACAACAACGTATCGTATCGTGGTAATCCTAAAATGACATCGCGAAAGCTACGTATCACACATGCATTGAACGTACAGTATCGTACCTCGTACGCCGTTGCGTTTGCCTGCCGCGCGAAATTAAAAATATGTAACAATTTTGCCGTATCGCTATCGCCGTCGTAAGATCGAGATATCGTAAGTCGGACCCCATCGTAACTCGGGGACTTTCTGTATATCCATAAACTGACCTGTGAAGTTGGAGAAGAGGCGACTGAAACTGGAGAAACGGTGTTGGTGCAGCCACTGCTGCATCTCTTGGATGGTGGCCGTGGGTGACAGCTTCTGCTGCTGCCAGAGACAAGTTGCAGACTCAGAATGTGTGTATACACGGGAAGAGTCCGATGATCGACACAGTAGAACCCCTCCTGATGAGCACTTCTGTTAGCGACTAATCGCTTAGCGACAGGCCTCCCCAGAGCCCAATGTGTAGTGTATAGTAGTGTATAGTGTAGTGTATAGTAGTGTAGTGTATAGTAGTGTAGTGTATAGTAGTGTAGTGTATAGTAGTGTAGTGTATAGTGTAGTGTATAGTGTAGTGTATAGTAGTGTAGTAGTGTATAGTGTAGTGTATAGTAGTGTAGTGTATAGTGTAGTGTATAGTAGTGTAGTGTATAGTGTAGTGTATAGTAGTGTAGTGTATAGTAGTGTAGTGTATAGTGTAGTGTATAGTAGTGTAGTGTATAGTAGTTTAGTGTATAGTGTAGTGTATAGTGTAGTGTATAGTATAGTGTATAGTGTAGTGTATAGTTTAGTGTATAGTGTAGTGTATAGTGTAGTGTATAGTTGTGTAGAGTGTAGTGTATAATAGTGTATAGTAGTGTAGTGTATAGTAGTGTAGTGTATAGTAGTGTAGTGTATAGTGTATAGTAGTGTAGTGTATAGTGTAGTGTATAGTGTAGTGTATAGTGTAGTGTATAATAGTGTAGTGCCTCCATAAGAGCCCAATGTGTTCGCTTACCAACGATTCCCCTGTTAACGACGGTCGGTTGTAGGTACAAGTAAATATTACTTAAACGCATTGATTAACCGTGTTTATTTTAACATTGTGTTGATGTTGTTAGTATCTTAATGTATCAATATCCATTGCTTAAATATTATAAAGTCCGTTTTTTTTGGGGGGGGTAAAAAGGGGTAACTTTCGATGCAACTGGAACGAACTAAGCCTTTAACGTGCATTTCCTAAACTCGCTTAAGCGACCAAACATCGCTTAACGATCGGTTTCGTGGAACCAATTACCGTCGTTAAGAGGGCGTCTACTGTCAAGCTCTTGTTCAGATGTCCAAGCAGGGGCACACGGGGTCAGAACAATACAAAAACACGACAGCAGTTCAAATAACAACGGTGAACAAATCATCTGCGAGCACACACGATCGAGCTATGGCTGCAGAGTTTGGTAGGTGCATGTTGTTTACTTCGTTGATTGTGAAAATTCGGTCACAGATCCTGTGACCACTGTTTCATTGCTTTCATGGCTTTATTTTGGTGATTTTCGATAAGTTTCTTGGTTTGGCCATGTTTGTTTCTTGTAGTACAGCGTTAGACTGATGGCCTTAATCTAAGTTGTCTTGTGGTTGTTGTTGTTTGACTTGCATCCCACTGGGATTTTTGCACATTTTTGTGTACGGTGCTTTTTCTTAAATATTTTTTCTTGGATTTTCTGTTTGCACTCAGTCACATAGTAACTTTAAGATGTTTTTTGTTCATGTTATTGTTTTTTGTTTGTTGCAGTTGCACCCGATTCAAGAGCCGAATGGCTCACAGGGCTATACCTAATGAATTAAACTTGAACTTGAAACTTGAACAAAAATCCACGCAGTGTTTCCCTTGCCAAGTAAAAAACGGGCCACGCACCTTTTGGGCGCGCGACGTTGAGACAATTAAAATTCGTCCCAACTGCAGTTGCACTTTTTCGATTTAAAGCTTTCGTGACTGCAGGGATTCATCTTCTTGGTTCTTTCGGTAAAATTCACGAAGAAGGGAAATAATAAAATAATAAAAATAAAGCATTATAAAATAATTCTCACGGCGTTTCGGCCACAACGCAAGCAGCCGTCCCTCAGGTGAAGAACAGGTCTGTCGGAAAGACAGCGGAAAGACAGCGTCATTTAGACGCTGTCTTTCTGACAGACCTGTTCTTCACCTGAGGACGGGCTGCTTGCGTTGTGGCCGAAACGTCGTGAGAATTATTTTATTATGTTTTATTATTTCCCTTCTACGTGACTTTACCGAAAGAACCAAGAAGATGCAGTTGCACTCTTTGACTGGCGCAGTAATGCAACGCAACGATCCGACGTTTCGTACAGGTAGTCCTCTAATTACGATAGAGATGTGTTACGACGACCCCATCGTAAGTCGAAAATATCGTAAGTCGAAGATGGCCTAGCCTACCCTGGAGTCTTAAAGAATGGTGATAATTTAGCAAAGCAGAGCAATTTACAGTAGCGTGCTGTATAAACTATATACTGTATGTATTTATTAATTACAATACTGTATTGCACAGTAAAATGAAAAGTAAAAAAAAACAAGGTAAATTCTATATGAACTGCAATTTAATAGAAAGTTTTTTTCAGGAAACAATCCTATCTGCTATAAAAACTTTTCACATGCATTGAACGTAGCGTATCGTGGTAACCGTAAAATGAAATCGCTAAAGCTACGTATCATAGTGTAGTGTATAGTGTAGTGTAGTGTATAGTGTAGTGTATAGTGTAGTGTATAGTGTAGTGTATACATGCATTGAACGCATCGTAACGTATCATATTGTACTGTACTCACCAAGATTCTGTCTGTCGTCTGCATACTTGAACGATGTTAGGTTGTTGATGGCATTTTTGTCGTGTCGCTATCGCTATCGTAAGATCGTAAGTCGGACCATCGTAACTCGGGGACTACCTGTATATGTACGCTTGGAGGTAACGTCGAACTTATTTTGCACCGTACATAGCCAACCACGCTAAGAACGGAGGTGCGGGATGACGACAACAACCTACGCCCAGGCCTAAGGCCTTCGTGTTTTCCTCTGCCAATGACGAGCTGAACTTGTAGAATCGATCATCCCTGCCTCCGTGTTTGCGCGGTCAAGTTTACACAGTTTGTCTGGAACGTTCTGTTCAGCCTTGCTTGTTCTATTCGTGTAAAAGTTCCGTGAACATATAAACAGGGACTCCTCTATTTACGAACAATTCGACTTACAAACTTTCAGAGATACGAACAAACCTGTCGGGATGTTCAGTTTGCTTGTTCGGACCGAGATTCGTAAGTTCAACCGCCTTGCAATAGATGGCGGCGGTGGCATCTACATCTGCAGAACGTGAAGAACCAGTGGCATCTACATCTGCAGAACATGAAGAACCAGTGGCATCTACATCTACAGAACGTGAAAAATCAGTGGCATCTACATCTGCAGAACGTGAAGAACCAGTGGCATCTACATCTGCAGAACGTGAAGAACCAGTGGCATCTACATCTACAGAACGTGAAGAACCAGTGGCATCTACATCTGCAGAACGTGAAGAGCCAGTGGCATCCTACATCTGCAGAACGTGAAGAGCTAGTGGCATCTACGTCTGCAGAATGTGAAGAACCAGTGGCATCTACGTCTACAGGACATTATGTAACTTTTAAAGCCAGTTCCCGTGTGAAGTGTACAACGTGTTTGAAATCGACGGGAGTAATGTTGGACTTCCGAATACACCTCTGGGACCTAACTCGTTTGTAAGTAGTCGCGTCCCTGTACTCATTTTCCGTGAAGTCACGAACGAATAAACGCGATCTTACGTTGCGGGGTTTCGGTGTGTTTCCTACGTTGGAACGTACCTCGAGGATGGCGTTATTGGACACGTCGTTCTGATGGTTTGGCGATGAGCAGTCACTGCAAGGCAGGCGGACCAACAACAAGCACCACACACCCCCTACACGTGAGTTGCGCCCAAGAACTTTCGCAGACACATCACTGAACAAAACCACGTTCCCCAATAGTCTTTGGTTCTTTCGGTAAAGTCACGTAGGTATAAAATAAAATAGATCACGACGTTTCGGGCGCAACACAAGCGTCCATCATGATCGTTTCCTCCGGTTCTTCTCTATGACGACAACCGGCATTCTCCACTAAGTGGCGGTGACGGCACCACGACGCTTGTGCCAGGCCATGTGCATCTTGAGGCCACGTGAAGTGTCGAACGCCCGCCGGCAGGAGGTCACGGGGCAGACCCAGGTGCCACGCGCACACCACACACACGCACACACCTGTCGTTGACGACGAAGGTGGTGGCTGCGGCGGAGGAGGTGGCCGGCTGGAAGCTGCTGGTGGCGGCCACCGTCGTGGTGGTCGTCGTGGTAGTGGTGGGGCTGTTGTCGAGGTACGTCGTGTCTGGCCACGGCGAGCACTGCCCGTCGAGCGCCCCGACAACAACAAAATAAACAAAGCGGCACGCGCACAGAGGAGAGACGGCGAAACGTTCAACGGCGTTCAACGACGACGTCCACCAACAACAACAACAACTCGCAGAAGCGAGACGCGAAAGTCGCACGGCCACGCGCCGATGTGGGACCTTGGCCAGTTGCGTTAAAACCGTCCTTCAAGCGTCGTTCTTTACGTTCTACCGAATTGCGCGCAGAGCCGCTCTGCCAAATGACTGCCGGATGGACGCCGTGCCGGTCGCGGGAGTCGTTTGACCACAACGGCCGGCGAGGTGAGGCGTGGTCATGGCGGGGAGGGGGGGTTGTTTGGCCGTACTTCACCGCGCTGCTCGGTGTGGGTGGGCAAGGGGGGGGAGGAGGAGGAGGGGGGGGGCCCAAAAAGATCGGGTTCGGATGGCACGCGCGCCACCGATGCGATTTGTAATGCCGCATTACAAATCGCTGCGCGCGTGCCGTTCTTAAAACACCGATTAAATAACAAAAAATTAAAGGGTTTGACGTTATTCATCAAGTGCCGGCCTTCTTGCATTCCCACGTAAAACATCGTCAACACGCGGCGACGAGCGTAAGAAATGCGTTCCGACCAAAACTGGAGCTGTGCCTTCGTGCAGTGCAATTGAACGGGGGACACGGAATCGCTGGGCAAGGTTCACAATCGCCTTGGGAGACTAAACGCTGTCGCTTGGCATGGCCTCAAGGGCGCCCTCTCAGGTCGTGAGCCACATTCGCGAGAGGCCGCTGCTACAATCAACAGGCGCTCTTCGATAACGATTTATTTCGCGCAAACTGACTGCTTCTCGACCGTTGTAGATTCTATTGCAGGAATATCTCCCAATACGCGGCACTCGTCGCGTTATTATTTTTTCGCTTTTCACGATAAAAAAAAAATCAGCTTCATGCAGCATTAAACGTCATATTCTCCGGACTATAAGGACACTTTTTTTTTAACCCCACGTTTTAAAAGTAAAATTTTATGCTAATAATAATAAGTGTGTCAAAGAGTGTGGCGGTGACGCTGCACAGCATTCGCTCGCTCTCCGAGAGAGACGGAGAAAGAAAGAACGGCACGAGGCGGGAGCGGGAACCACGATCACGCGGGAAAAGGAACGCAGCGGCCGGAAAGGCGTGTCGGGTGCTACCAGCAATCGCCCAAGTTCTGCAGTCCTCTAGGAAAAAAGTTGCGTGGTTGGCATCTTATGCAATCCGGTAGGTGTGTCGTGTGTGTGCGAACAGAATTGAATAACTTTAATGAAACAAACTTTACGGTGCTGTCGTACTTTCCAGAGTACCTTATAATCCAGAGAACACGGTAATTATTTTCAGGCCTTTTTTTTTCTCGCATCCCCCAGTGTAGAATAAACAAACAATCCAACTGCCGCATCGGCCGCGTGACCAATAAATAAATAAATCGCTGACGGCGGAGAACGCCTTCCCGTGAACCGAGCGCCGAAAATATTAACCCGGTAGATTTTTGTTTCAGCAACGTTCCGCACCTTGCAACGTCAAAGGCACGGCAGAGAAGGCCCTGCACTGCAAGTGCCCACTCGTGACACTGCTGGCAGAAGGGTCACCGCCCCCCCCCCCTTCCACGGTGAGGCAAAGGGAATTGTGGGGGACTGTGCCTTTATCTCTGGGAGATAAAGACCTGCAAGCGAGTCACGGCATTTATGTCTAAACTATCATTTAGATTTCAGCGGGTAAGTCCCCCCAACTGTTTGAGAAGAGACCCTGGCTCTCACAAACGATAGCTCGCCGAGACGTAGCCGACGGTCGTGCAGAAATTTAAGAGCAGCCAATTACTCTTAAGCGCGTGATGTCAATTCTAAAATGTGGAGGGGAAAAACGGAAGGATCCGGAACAAAATCCACTCGACCATGGGGAGAGAGAGAGACACGCACACTTCAAATATTACAGCAGGCGTCAAGGGTCGGGATCGAACCCACGACCTCCTGCATACCAGGCGAGGTAGTTAACATCTCCTCGCCACCACGGAGCCCCATTAACCTCGTCATTAAAACCTCGTCGTCCATCCTGGCACAGTCGGCTCGGACACGGTCAACGGAGCGCGGCCAAATCGCACGGGCACAGCTCCTGAAACACCCTTCAACGACCCAAGGTGCTTCCGATCACAAGCCAAATAAAGTGTCAAGTGTCGTATAATGAATAGGAAGGTGGGGGGGTGGTGGGTGGGGGGGCGGTGGGGGGTGGTGGGAGGGGGGGAAGGGGAGGGGGGCTTACAGAACTGCCTCTCTTTGCATGATAATCCCCGACTTCGACTAGCATAGTCCTCTTAGTCGATTTTTTCAGCTCATTCTCATGCGCGTCTCCACCATTAGTGCTGGCCCGTTTCATCTGGAGACACCAGACACCACCGCACAGGCAAGCAAGGTAACCTGACGTCATCGATGCACCTCTTTGTTGGTGATAGAGTGCCGGAGGGTCGCTGCGCGGACCCCCCCCCCAATCCCGATTTAACAAAAAAAGTAAAAAATCACACGTTGGGTTATGCCGCCACGCAGTGAGCGATCGTTGGTGCGGTCCCTGGTTACCGTGGCAACGTCTACGTCCGCTGCGGACGTCGACAACGCCTCCACAACGCCTCCGCGTAGGGATGGGTTTCAGGATAAAACATTTTTTGGGGATTTAAAAAAAAAACTTTTCGGTACCATTGCCGCTTTTGTCACGTGGGGTTTTTCCCACGACCGACGTTACGATTCGAAATTCTATTTCTTTCGGGTTGGACCGTCACGTAGGTACGGCGTACAGTTGCTGTTTTTACACGATGGCCCTCCAACCGCCCCGGACAAGAGCCCAACGAGTCGAGTTGTCATGTCGCGTGGGCAAATACGTGCCGATTGATTTGGTTTTACCAGCAAAAAGAAACGAAATGTCGCGTTTCAACACTGTGCGTCGGCAAACGTGCTCGACCGAGAGCCTGAGTCCTCGCGAGCACCGAAAGATGGTGGGGGTGCGATTTCCCGCGGAGCGCCAAGGAAATTTTTTACAGTTTTTCAACATTCCTCCTCCCTCCATGCGGTTTTACTGGTAAGCCAAATCAATTGGCACGTTTTGCCCCGAAGCTCCGATAAGCACGGTTTGGCGAAGTACGCACACGCACACGTGACATCTCGATTTGATTGGCCGCGTCTCGCTGGGTGGTGGATGGGTCATAGTTCACAATTTTGTATTTTCCCAGGTAAGGCCAATTCGATGCTGCGTGGCTCTTTTTCAGAAGCAACCCGGCCACAAATGATAGCCCAACCAAGCGGCTTTACATCATCACGTGGACATTTATAGCAGCCAAATACTCTGAGCGCGTGCTTATAACTGTGCAGGGAAATAGCGGAGGACCCGGAGAAAAGTCCACGCGACCACGGGGAGAACGTGGAAGCCCCAAATTAACAGCAGACGTCAGGGTCGGGATCGAGCCCACGACCTCCTGTATACCAGGCGAGGTAGTCGACATCTTCGCGACGACACAACCCAAAATAAACTATTTATAAAATCACTTACTCGTTTAATATTTACATACCCGCACGTCAACAGCATCGACGTCACGTGGTTCTCCACCACGTTTATGGCAGGAAAAAGCGCAGACGTCAAATCCGGATTGCGGATTGATCAGATAGCAAACCCCCCCCAAAAAAAATCAATACAATATTCTACCGTTTTAAAGCTTTCATGACTGCAGGGATTCATCTTCTTGGTTCTTTCGGTAAAGTCACGTAGAATGGAAATAATAAAATAATAAAAATAAAACATTTAATAATTCTCACGACGTTTCGGCCACAACGCAAGCAGCCGTCCTCAGGTGAAGAACAGGTCTGCCTGGGGTGTGTCATTCACCTGAGGACGGCTGCTTGCGTTGTGGCCGAAACGTCGTGAGAATTATTTTATTATGTTTAATTTTTATTATTTTATTATTTCCATTCTACGTGACTTTACCGAAAGAACCAAGAAGATGAATATTCTACTGATCGTTCCAAATTGTGAGATCCAATCCAGATTTTCGAAGGAACCAAAATCGAAAAACACATCCCTACAATGTGAGGAGTGCAAGGGGTGGGTGGGGGGGGGGGATGGGGGTCACACCCACAACCATACTTCCCCAGTTCTGGCTGAGGAGGCCTAGCATGCGAGTGCATGGTTTTGGAGGGAGAAGTGGGGGTAAGAGGTGTGATGGGGGAGGGGTGACGAGGGGCAGGGGGATGATCACATGGGATGGGAGAGAACTTGCAGGCGACCGTCTTGAAACTCACCGTGGCTTCAGTCTATACGCAACTACAATTCGTTTTTTGGTGACGCCCTATCGCTCAAATTAATTAAACCTACGCATTTTTTGGTCCAGTACGTCGCTGGCAGGTCCCGTATAACAAAAGTGCTTGAAAATATATAACAGCGCGAGGTTATCTTATTGGTTCTTTCGGTAGTCACGTAGAAGGGAAATAATAAAATAAGAAAAATAAAACATAATATAAAACATAATAAAAGACAGCGTCTTTCCGACAGACCTGTTCTTCACCTGAGGACGGCTGCTTGCGTTGTGGCCGAAACGTCGCGAGAATTATTTTATTATGTTTTATTTTTATTATTTATATTATTTCCCTTCTACGTGACTTTACCGAAAGAACCAAAAAGATGAATCCCTGCAGTCACGAAAGCTTTAAATCGAAATTAAGTGCGAGGTTAGTTTTGCAACATGTCCAGGATTCATATCGGGGGATTAGCCGCAGACGCTGCCCGCCGCCTGCCTCACTCGCAGTGGACGTTTAAAAAAAAGATCTCTCCCCCTGCCGTGACGTCGGAGGAGGCCCATCGCCGTGTGTGCCGCCGGCGTCGCGGTGCTAAAAATTTCGCCAAATTTGAAAAGAATTTTTTTTTTAAATGCACGCTTACTTTTATTCACTTGGCATTACACGCAGCAAACATCAAACCCGCCCAGCCCCCCGCCCCCCCCCCCCCGTGCCACCCCCCTTCTACAAAATCTGGCAGGACCCCCCCTCCTGAAAGAGAGTCATGCAATTCGGTGAGGCTTTAAACAAGCACAAGAATAATAATAATCATAATATATATTTTTACAGATAAGACATGTGCGTTTCAGGTACAAGGCAGGTTTTAATCGTCAAGGAGTGGTGCGTGCGTGTGTACGATGTGCTTCTTTGGCACCGGGCGTGGTCGAACGTGCCAATCGGAGGTGCGGGGGGAAGGACGACGAACTAAATACCAAAAATCAAGTTCTAAAAAATGTTTGTGATAGTTAATGAGCAGAGGCTACAGGGAAAAAAAATGTTGTCAAAATAGTCCATGGACCAGAGCGTAATTCGGCACCCGCAAGAGGCGGACAACAACATTTATTGATGTACTACTGTGCATGTGGCTCCTATGACGTGTATTGTGTACCACGCGGATTACTATTGCTACTATTAACAAGCTTGTTTACCAAAGAAAGCCTCACAAAGTCTCACGGCTCCTTTTCAAGAAGGTCGTATCCTAGCGAGTGATGCTGCTGCTCCATGGAAATCATTTGCACGTCATTTTTTCCCGGCATTGTCATGTTTGTTTTTGGCCAATACCGGGGGTTAGGTTGTAATAGGGAGTTTTGTTTTCTTATTTTAGCTTGGAGAAGCCGGAGGAAAGCCACGCAGGACGGGCAGGGAAGAGAGAACGTACAAACTCCACACAGGCAAAGCGCCAGAGTGGGGAATCGAACCGTGGATTGAGTCTTCTTGGTTCTTTCGGTAAAGTCACGTAGAAGGGAAATAATAAAATAAAAATAAAACATAATAAAATAATTCTCACGACGTTTCGGCCACAACGCAAGCAGCCGTCCTCAGGTGAAGAACAGGTCTGTCGGAAAGACAGCGTCTGAATGAAACACCACCAAGCTTGGAGCGTATATTTAAGCTATAGCGTCTGAATGAAACACCACCAAGCTTGGAGCGTATATTTAAGCTATAGCGTCTGAATGAAACACCACCAAGCTTGGAGCGTATATTTAAGATATATATACGTTCCAAGCCTGGTGGTGTTTCATTCAGACGCTGTCTTTCCGACAGACCTGTTCCTCACCTGAGGACGGCTGCTTGCGTTGTGGCCGAAACGTCGTGAGAATTATTTTATTATGTTTTATTTTTATTATTTTATTATTTCCCTTCTACGTGACTTTACCGAAAGAACCAAGAAGCTGAATCCCTGCAGTCACGAAAGCTTTAGATCGAAATTTTACGAGGATTGAGTGTCACCGCTCCACTGCCGCCCCACGTCGCTCTCGTCAAAATGCGGCGCGATTCCTAAAACTCGCGGCATGTGATCGTCGTCACTTTCTTTTTTACCGGCGATTTCAAAGACGCTGGCGCAACTCGAGCGTTGGAGTGGAACTAAGCAATTCAATGAAATCGGGTCCATGGACTAAAAGAGAACTTCTGTATCTTCTTGGTTCTTTCGGTAAAGTCACGTAGAAGGGGCGTAATAAAATAATAAAAATAAAAACAAAAAAATAATTATTTTATTATTTTATTATATTATTTTATTATGTTTTATTTTCATTATTTTATTACGCCCCTTCTACGTGACTTTACCGAAAGAACCAAGAAGATGAATCCCTGCAGTCACGAAAGCTTTAAATAGAACTTCTGTACTCGTCAAGACATGTGAATAAATGTAAAAAAAAACGGGGAGGGAGCGAGGGAGGGAGGGAACAGGAGTCTCCGGCCTCACCTCGGTGAGGATGGTGGTGTCGTAGGACAGCTGGTATTTCTCCTTCTCCAGCGGCGTCCGTTTCTCCATCTTATCGCGGTCCGTCTTTTGTTTCCTATCCGCACCTTTCGGCTGAGAGGTCACAGCGGTCAGACGCGGGGGGCCCATCGGCCAAACACACAGAGCTCGACAGATCAATGGGTGTCCTTGCCCCCGCCCTCCCCCAACCGCGGGGAGGGGTGGGGGTGGTGAGACTGCCACAATGTAAGTTTGGAACGACGTACACATACAGACGACGCGTATTGTATTTTGATGTGAAATTATACGAATTCGTGGCGAGCCAGACTTTAAAAAATAAAACAATTTGTATTTTTTTATTTTACCAGCTAAGGCCCACTGAGCTGGATAGCTCTTGGCCGTCACAAATGATAGCTCACCGAGAATGTGGCTTATCACGTGAAAATCTAAAGTCGCAGGCAAATAATCTAAGAGGGCATTTCTAAATCTTGGAGGGTAAAACCGGAAGACTCGGAGAAAAATCCACGCAACAACAGGGAGACACGCAAACTCCAAATATACAGCAGCAGGCGTCAGGGTTGGGATTGAACCCACGACCTCCTGCACACCAGGCGAGGTAGTGAACATCTCACCACGGAGAGAGACACGCAAACTCCGAGTATACAGGGCATTGTCGGGGTCGGGATCGAACCCACGACCTCCTGCATACCAGGCGAGGTTGTTAACATCTCCTAGCCACCGCGGCACCCCTTGTCAGCAAGCTGGGATCAGCTTCTCCCATGCTACGAGTACAGCTACACGGGATTTTTATCGCTTGACGGGCAATCTGAAATCGGAAGATCGATACCTCGCTGATCTTGTCAAGGAGCATAAACCATCGTCATGCAAACTCCGCTCGTCCTCGCAGCAGCAGCAGCAGCAGCAGCGGCGGCGGCGGTGGCTTTAGCTAACCCACGGACAAAGACGGCGACCGCATCGCGCGCTTTTAAGTTCGCTTCTGCGGCCGTCTGGACCACTCTTCCATCCGATACTAGGAAGCGACTGGGAGCCATGCACTTTTCAATCACCTCGATTGAAAACCAATTTCTTTAGAACTGCTTTTAGTGCATTGGTTTGTTGCCCCTACGCCCCCCCCCACCGCACCTCCGATTAGCTACGGTTGGCTACGTACGGCACGAAAGAAGTTCAACACACGTACACACACCGCACCTCCGATTGGCACGGTCGGCTACGTACGGCACGAAAGAAGTTCACCTCAACTTGCATACTGCGGCATCGCCGTGGCGCAGCAACCTTGGTACGGCACGGCGGAACGCCCGTGGGACAGAGGTCGCAAACGGGTTTTGATTCCTTACCCATACCCGGCCGCACCAGGGTCGCAAACAGGTACCCGTACCCATACCCGGCCGGGTAGCCGGGTATCGGGTAGGGTACGGGTATCGGATACCCGGTTGCGACCTCTGCCGTGGGACGCCGCCGACGACGCGGGCGCGTGGCGACGTGCCGCGGGCACCTTGAAGACCTTGACTTGGCAGCTGGCCGAGTGCAGGTGCTCCGTGTACTCCCCGCCGTCGTTCTGCTTGAACGTGTCGATCTGAACGCGGAACGGCACTCCCTTCTCGCCCCCGTGCTTCCGGGGCGTGAACTCCGTGCTGATGCAGTTCACCTTGGCGGCGGGGCACAAACGACAAAGATCTTTCACGGAATTGTCGGGACAAGTGCTGTTAGCGGCCAGCACCTATGGGGGCTGAGTCGACCTAGGGGAGGCCCTGGACCCGGTTCAGATAATCGTCACCGGTGTTGGCCTTGAGCGGGAATTGAACTCAGGGTCCCACACCCGCTCCCGGGTGTGGTGCTGGCCACCTACCCCCTCGTGTGCAGTGCCAGCCTTCATAGGCGGTGCTCGCTAACAGCACTTGCCCCAACAGTCTGTTAAGGCTACACGGGGGATCTTTGCGGCGGCACACACACACACCAACGCGGGTGTTTGCGACAAGCGATGAAATACGACGCAAACAAAATTAAATAATTACAATTTAACGATTCACGGTAGGGGGCGGTGGGGGGGGAGGTTGATGGGGGCACGAGAAGGCGGGCAGAACCAGCGTCAACAATTGTCCAACCTCTGCGGTCCTCTGCATATTAAGTCGCTATCGGCCAATTAATGAGCGCGTACATGCGGGATGAAACCAGGGCAACCGGAGAAAACCCACGCGTGTGCGAGGGGGAAACCCTTCATCACACACAGGCGGAGCAGGTCGAGTCCACATACTTGCTGCACTGCATTCTAGCGGCGAGCCAGGGTACGGGCAACATCACCGACGCCCACAGGAAGGGCCGTTGTACAACATCCGTGCGGCCAGCCCGCGCTGCTACCACCGCATCCACAGCGCCTGGATTGCAGGCAGCCGCGTAGCGACCGCCGCCACCGCCCGGCTATCCACCGCCAGATGACGGGCCCTCCCCAATGGAAGGTGACCCCCCCGAGGTTCTCCTCTGTAGCAGAGGTCGCAACCGGGTACCCGATACCCGTACCCTACACGATACCGGACAACCCGTACCCGGCCGGGTACGGGTAGCCGTTTGCGACCCTGGTGCGGCCGGGTACGGGTAGGCCGTGAGTCACTGGTGAGTCACCGTTTGTCATTCATTTCCCAACGTCTTGTCTCTTCTCACAATTCAAGTTGCTAGAATCAACCCACCCACGCCTGCAAAAATGGCTTCATCCCAGAGGTCGCAATCGGGTACCCGATTCCCGTACCCTACCCGATACCCGGCCGAGTACGGGTAGCCGGGTATCGGGTAGGGTACGGGTACCCGTTTGCGACCCTGGTGCGGCCGGGTACGGGTAAGGAATCAAAACCCGTTTGCGACCACTGCTCCGTAGTTGCTTCTGTCGACGCGTGTCAAGGCGAGGGCCGCGTGGAGCCTCTTCCCACCTGGATGAAGACGGACGAGCGCTTGGCAGGGTCCCACAGAAACTCCACGGTGTTGAGAAGCGTCGGGTTGGCCCTCGGGTCCACGATGCCCACGGACATTGGCATGTCTGTGGGCAGAGGCGTTCATTTTGTTTCGAGAGGCGTAGTAGCGGCGCCGTTCTTTTTGAAGGCATTGTTACTCACCGCGGAGAACCGCAGCGACACGACCACCGCTCTACGATAGCCGGCGCCAACACCGTGCCACACGCCCCCCCCGCCCCGCATGGCCTTGTGGGAGCCTCGGTGGCGATAAAAAAATTTATTTTATTTTTCTTCCCGTTCCGTTCCGATGACGTACGTACAGGTACGTCATCGCAACGGGGTTGAGATGCTCACCACCGTGCGGGCTGCGAGGGTAGGAGATGCTTGGGAAGACCAGAAGCTTTTGACCATGCTTAACCCCGTGAAAAGATACACGTATAACAAATAGAAAAGCCACTGAATACATAAATAGGCACGAGCGCGATCGGGCCGGGCTCACCGATATCGAGGATGCGATCTCCTGGACGATTCCACTTCCAGCTCTCCAGCTGCTGGTGCTCCGTGTACTGCAGACGGCGGTCGTGAAACACGACGCGCACGATGCTCTGCCAACGCCAGCGGGAGAGAGAGCGAGACGGCGCCGGTTTGACGGTGGTGCGAAGGAGCGGTCACGGCGGACGCAATGGCGCGCGCGTCACCAGTTTAACGCGGGAGGCTTTTGGCGACCAATAGCATCGGGTCTGCGGCGGGTTTAACGACGCATTATATTCACGTGATCTCGACCTTTACGCCTGCTGCTGTATACTGGGAGTTTGCGTGTCTCTCATCATCATCATCACGGTGGCTAAGAGATGTCAACTACCTCGCCTGGTCTACAGGAGGTCGTGGGTTCGATCCCGATCCTGACGCCTGCTGTATGCTGGGAGTTTGCGGTGTCTCTCTATCATCATTACCACGGTAGCTAGGAGATGTTAACTCCTTCGCCTGGTCTACAGGAGGTCGTGGGTTCGATCCCGACCCTGATGCCTGCTGTATACTGGGAGTTTGCGTGTCTCTCTCATCATCATCATCACAGTGGCTAAGAGATGTCAACTACCTCGCCTGGTCTACAGAAAGTCGTGGGTTCGATCCTGACCCCGATGCCTGCTGTATATTTGGAGTTTGCGTGTCTCTCTCTCATCATCATCACGGTGACTAGGAGATGTCAACTATTTCGCCTGGTCTACAGGAGGTCGTGGGTTCGATCACGACCCTTACGCCTGCTGTATGCTGGGAGTTTGTGTGTCTCTCTCTCTCTCCCTGTGCTCGTGTGGATTTTTCTCGACTAAAAACGCGTTCAGAGTATTTTCACTGCGACTATAAATTTCCACGTGATGATGATGATAAGCCAATTTGTTGAGCTATCATTCGTGATAGCCAGGTCGCTCCTGAAAAAAGAGCTACAACGCTCAGTGGGGCCTTAGCTGGTAACAGCGCCAGCCAACGCCGCGCGCGAGCGGGCAGCTGCCGACCCACGTTCGGCCGGTGAGCCGTTGGCAGCTGCGCGCCTGTGGCTGCCTCTGTGCAAGGGGACACCTGGGGGTAGTGTCAAAGCAACGTCACCGAGGGGACCGCCCCGCGGCAATGACATTCGTGCGGCCCGCCCCCCCCCCCCCCCCACACCTTGACATATTTGCCGTTGATCTCTGGGAGTTCTCCCATCTTCCTGTTATCCAGCATTCTCAACTCGTACGACTGACCTGCCAACACACGGACACACGTGCGCGCACACACACACAAGGGTATGACGGTGGCGTCAGCGCTCCGGACGCGGACAGAAGCGTGTTCAAACATCGGCGCGAGTCGCAATTGCGATGGCCCGTCAAGCGTCGGCGTAGTTTCCTGCTCAAACGAACAGCGGGACGGCGCCGATCTCCCGTTGGAGTTTCCACATTCCTGCGGCGGGTGCAAGTGCATCCGAAGGACGACCAACTCCGCAATTCCGAAGATTGCGAGTTCAAATCCTGGTCGGGGGAGGTGGAAAGGGGCTAGACTCGGCACCATCATCTCTCTCCCTCCGGAGTCAACACAACGAGCATCGACACGTCGGCGAGTCAGCGGTGGTTGTCCTTCGGCTAGACTCGCCGCGGACCCCCCCCCTCCTACCGCCCCCGCCATAGGAACGTCGAGTTTCCACCACTGGCTCAAGAGCACCGCATCGGTGCTCGTTCTTGAGGCGAGAAATTTGTTTCGGCTTGAGCTCTGACCACCGCCCCCCCCCCCCCCCCCACCGACGCCGGCAGCACGCGAGTCCGGTCCGGCTGGGGCGGTGACGCGGACGTGCCGAGCGGGATCCAGCGGAAACCGCAACGATGCGATGCGGTCCGCTCCCCGGGACAAAGACTGAAAGGGGGCGACCGTCGTTTGCGCGAACTCTGGGTCGCTGTATCGCGGCAAACGGAAACGTGTGGGCAAGACTCTTAAGAAACGCGCGTTCGGAGATTGAGTATCTCTGGCTTTCTGCTATAAATTTCCACGCGTGAAAAAGCCACTTCTCGTTGGGATATCATTTGTGATTGCAAGGTCACTTCGGAAGAAGAGCCACCACGTGGGTCAAGTGGGCCCTTACCTAGTAAGATAAAAATAGATTTCAGTTTCAGCACGTTCACCTACGAACCACCACCGGAGATCCAAACGCCGTTCGGTAAAGCGTCGGCACACATCCCGACCGTCGCATATCCACCCCGACCGATTATATTACCTGCCCACACCGAGTGCACGGTTGGCTACGTAAGTTGCGAAGGAAGATCAGCGCGCATGCATACATCGCTGTGGTCATCCAGACCAGAGCGTACAACATACAGCGACGCAATGCCCGGTCCCACAGATACGAAGGAGGCATCACGGCAACACGTTGCTCCGCTGCCCCTGACAGCGGTTGCCTGGCCCGACCACCCGAATGTGAAATGTGTCGTTGTTGCGCTGCGTCTAGGTCAGCTGTACCAAGAGATAAGAAGAATCGCTCGTGACGATGACTGTACACAATCTGCAACTGCAATCGACCGTCCCAGCCAGGTCTGCCGTGAGCCACCCAAACGCCACACACACACACGCGTGTGTGTGTGTGGCGTTTGTAGGAGCGGCCCCCATGGTGCATCGGGGTGGGTTAGTTGTGGTTGGAGTTGGGTTTGGGGCTGGGGTTGTGGCTAGGGTTGTGGTTGGGGTTGTGGTTGTGGTTGTGGCTGTGGTTGTGGCTGTGGTTGTGTCTGGGGTTGTGCCTGGGGTTGTGGCTGTGGCTGGGGTTGTGTCTGGGGTTGTGGCTGGGATTGTAGTTGGAGATGTGGCTAGAGTTGTGGTTGGGGTTGTGGTGTGGTTGTGGTTAAGGTTGTGGTTGGAGTTGTGGTTGGGGTTGTAGCTGGGGTTGGAGTTGTGGTTGGAGTTGTGGTTGTAGGTGTGGTTGGTTTTGTGGTTGGGGTTGTGGTTGTAGTTGGGGTTGAAGTTGTGGTTGCAGTTGTGGTTGTAGTTGTGGTTTGTATTTGGGGATGTGGTTGGGGGTGTGGTTGGGGTTGTGATTGGGGTGGTGGTAGCGGTTGAGGTTGTGGTAGTGGTTGCGGTTGTAGGTTGTAGTAGTGGTTGCGGTTGGAGGTTGTGGTAGTGGTTGCAGGTTGCGGTTGTGGTAGTGATTGCGGTTGTGGTAGTGATTGCGGTTGTGGTAGTGGTTGTGATTGGGGTGGTGGTAGTGGTTGCGGTTGGAGGTTGTGGTAGTGGTTGCAGGTTGCGGATTGTGGTAGTGATTGCGGTTGTGGTAGTGGTTGTGATTGGGGTGGTGGTTGCGGTTGTGGTAGTGGTTGCGGTTGGAGGTTGTGGTTGCGGCTGAGGTTGTGGTAGTGGTTGCGGTTGGAGGTTGTGGTTGGAGGTTGCGGTAGTGGTTGTGGTAGTGGTTGCGGTTGAGGTTGTGGTAGTGGTTGCGGTTGGAGGTTGTGGTTGGA